TTTTAGACAGGAAGGTTGATTCTACTACACAGGGCTAGCTGTCTTTGTTACAGCAGGTTTTACTTTAAGGTTTCAATGCCACAAGAGCCCAGAGGTTCCAGCTCCGGAGCTGCACTACCCGCCTCTCTAGAAGCACCATGCCTGCTGCTTCCTGACCCTGCTCATCTCATGGGTGGCTGGATCTCACTCCAGTTGTTTCCCACATCTCTCACAGCCCCACATGTCCTGAAAACTTTTCTGCCCTCCTATTCGCCGGACACACTGGCTGGTATGAAACTCCCTACTCTCAGCACTTGACAGACATAGCTCTGGGGGGAGCTGCTTAGTGCATTTTCTTGCACATCGCCTGGTATTGCCTTCCTGGGTGCCTGAGAAATTATATTTGAAGTGCAATTACTAAAGACCTCAGGTGGCAAGTCTCAGTTCCCCAGGGAGCAGATTCACTGCCCCCTTTCCTGCAGGAGAATGCAGTTCCATTACACCTTTGAGCACTCCCTTTTTCCGTTCTCTGCCCTCAGGTAACCCAGTAACTCCCCAGTTGGACAAGCTCTGGCTGGTCTCCATGTCTCTCCTAATTGCTCTGTTGGCTTTCAGACAACAGAGCAGGGCGGGGATTAGGATGAGGAAGCAAGGTGAGGTGCTAGGGCGTGAAATTCACTCATTCTTCTGTAACAGTTAGACATTCTAGTCACTTCCTAGTCTTCTGGAATGTGCATGCTATTTCACTCACCTCTCGAATTTTACCTGAACGTGCTGCTATGCTTTGAAGCCTTTTATTACCCTAGCACATTTTCCTGCAATAAAAATATGTACCTAAATTGAAATTTTATTTAAAAAATTTATTTAAATATACTTTCTAGAATTAGAAAGTCTTCATCTGAAAAATTGAGTTACCACTGCAATTATTAGTAATGCAAACCCAATCCAAATAACAAAACACATTAAACCTTTGATAGGCAATTATGAAATAGTAAAAGCAAAATTGTACTGAAGATGCATCAAGAAGAGTACAACTGGCTGCTTATTTTCCAGGCAGCTGATATGTCTGTGTGTAGTACTTACTGCTAGAGTCAGACATGGTCAGCATATATTTTTGCCAATTAAAAACATATTCTTTTAGGGCCGGCTGAGTGGCTCAGTTGGTTAAGAGTTGGCTTAAGAGTGCAAGCTCTGAGCAACAGGGCCGCCAGTTCGATTCCCACATGGGCCAGTGACGCTGCACCTGAGCTGAGCTGTTGCTGAGCT